AGCAGGACTATAGCTCCTATGGTGAAGAATGTCACACATTGTTTCTATGGTTTGTTGAAGACATTAAGAGTAACCTTATTTCTATTTAAAGGAGAATTCTGTTTGCAAATGACCTTCCAGCATCCCAGCAGTGCATTTTCATAGGGACTGTAAGAAAGCAAACAGTGATTCCTATTGTTTCTTCACACCAGTGACTGAAGGATTTCCCAGGCAACTCCCCAGTGTGGAGGTGACAATACTGTTACACACCTCCCACTCTTGCAAACAGGGGTAAATGGATGATTTGCACTGTGGGACCTTCATCTACTCAAGTCCAAGCCAGGTACAGCAGCACAGCTGAAGCACTGCGCAGAACGTGCTTGTCTGTGCCCAGGTACCACCGGAGCCCTAATGCAGTCCACCTCACAACAGCAATTTCCAGCACAGACCTGACAAGAGTCAGAGGTCCCTAACTGTCCAGTCATTGTCTATCACACTCACATTTATCTTCCACATTTTTAAAGAGCCTGATGATCACTTTGTAACTGCATTCATGAGTCTTTCATTACCTTTGATGAACTGCCTCCTCAATAAATGCCCAAAGTTTTGAAAAGATAAAAAAAAACCAAATAGAACCCAAAAAGACATCAGGCTGTCTTAGAAAAGCACTTTGACTTTCTCACTGGATAATTTAAAATGTTTATGAACAAGCCCAACCACAGGTTTTTAAGTTTTCCTCAATTAAATCTTACATTGCTGAGCTCAGCTCACAGTTCCACTCTCTTCACATCTCCCTGAAGCCTTACTACACCTTCACACATACTTGCTCCTTCTCCAGTTTCTATAACATCAGCACATATACACAAGTGGTAAGTTTACAGTGCCCCCAGATGTTATGAATAAAATCAGCATGAAGTAGAGTCCTAAGTGCCTCTCCCCCTCCCTTCTGTCAGCAGCTCACTTAAGAATGCTCTTTTATTGGAGGTCACAGCAATAAATTATCTTCTTCTGATAAAGACTTGTTGCAGTTACCATGGATTTTTCTGTCTGAATCCGTATCATATATCTAACTGTAAATGTACTAATTACCAAAAAAGTACAATAGAATCAAAACTCCCAGATTTTATTTATATCTAGAACTTGACAGTATAAAGCTTTATCACTAGATCTTACTGAACTCTAAAAAGGTTCAGGCAGGTTCCCACACCAAAGTTCTGATGCACCTAGTACAGAAATCACTTCAGACGCTCTTACCATGTCTGAAGCCAGCTCAAGTCCCTCATCTCATCAAATCTCCCATCATGGTACTGTTACAGACACAGCTCTGGAGCTTCCTTAGCCCACACTGTAAGGATCTACTACAGGTTATGCATCTTTACAAAGGCAGAGAAGGGTACTAAGGAATAAGAAGAATGCTGAAAAGTATGTCAAAAAAGTCTTCCCACTTATTGTTTTGAAAAGGAAAACGAGAATGACAAGCAACAACCTTGCTTTTTTGACTGAAAAATTTTAAAATCCCAGGTCTGTGTGTTTAAAGGAGTGATAGGGCCACCTGCTGCATCACAAAGAAGCTGGAAAAGACATCAGTCATATTCTCACTTCTCTCCCCATCTGCAGATTCATAACTAGAGCAATGATATCTATAAGGATACAACCTTGTCCGGAGGTCCAGAAAGGATCCAAAGTAAAATTTACAGCACACAGGAGAAACAGGTACTGGAATACAATATCTAAAAGCCAGGTTTCACATGGTTAGGTGACAAGTGCTTATTAGGCTTAGATTATTTTGCGACTCCTTAGCCTTTTCCCAGATCACTGACCTCCAAAAAGATTATGCCATTCACGTTTGCTACAACTTGTAAGAGATTCAGTACGACAAAAGAAGTTTAACAGCAGCTGGCAGAGCAAAGCACAGCTGTTTATCATCCCACACCAGAAACAGTTCTTCAAACACACATCAGGGACTAGAGAGATAAGACACTTTTATCAGGAACAAACCTTTCAGACAGAAGTTACTAAATCGTGGCTTTAAAGCAAGTAATGAGTCTGTAAGTGCACTGCAGAAAAAGAGACTGCAAATAGGCACCCATTAACGGCACTGAGCTATGCACATACTGCTTGTGTAACTTCAGTCTCCTAACACTCTTTAGCATCATGAGACCCTTTCTTTGATTGACAAAGGAAACAGCTGTATGCCACCTTCATTAAGACAAAGATAATTTGTTTCCTTATAGAACTGTCCCTTTGCCATCATTTAAGTACTGATTGAACACATGTAAGAAAGGCTACCACTAGTTGGAGTGGTAAAAAGACCCAAATGTGGTAAGCAATCTAACTCCCATTCTAATGTTCCCAGAATGGAAAATAAAGGTCCAAATATCAGACATTTGCATAAACAAGCAACTATTCATTCTCTTTTTATGCTCACGTTCATGACCTCTGGCCATCTGAGTAGAGAATTTGACTGGGTGAAATGAGATTCCCCTATTGACCTCAGTCTCTCTCTCCAAAGAAATAATGATAAAAATGGGATTGTTTTCAGAGAACTGAAAGCCTGATTTGTATATGCAATAAGCCATTCCATATTAAATCCACGGAGCATTTTCATCACCTCAAAATTACAAAAACTATTTGTTTCCAGACAGTGCAGGATAATTAATTCAGTCTTCACCAAGACGAGCTTTTCTCCATATTGTGCCTCTTACCTACACTGAGTTTCCCCAGAGAACAGCCTGAACCCTATGCACATATCAGACTACTAATGCCATGGACAGAATCAACAGCGTCAACATGCTTTAAGTTTTCACTGCCACTTCCCTCTGACAAACTAGATGTTGCCACCTACCGACTCTTGTCAAAACCTGAACTTCAAATGACTTTTTTTATTCCCCACTCCCAGACACAATGCCTAAGATGCACAACAGAGGCTGTAAGGAAGGAGCACTACAGCCCAGATAAAGAAACTATAAATTGATGCCTGATAATCTCAACTATTATTGTTACTTGTTTTGTTCCACTGTTGTAGCTACTTTAAGATGTCAAATTTTAGTAACATCAGTCCAAGTCTTGATCTCGTAATGTGACTGTCAAGCATGTATTTTTACAATGAGACACAACCATATATAACAAAGACAGCTGTGTGAATTTGAGGACAACCACAATTCCTTGCAAGCTTTACGTCACCATATGTTCTAGATTTGATGGTCCAGGGTAGAGCTTGAATGCTGTGGTCCAAATAATACACAGAAAGTTAAGATCTGTTGCTGCTTTTCCAAGATTTTTCCACACCTAAGGCGTGACAAATAAGAAAAAAAGCCTATCATCCAGCTCCAGCAGCACCGAAGATATAACTAAAACATTAATTATTCCTTTATAGAATTACATTGTCAAACAAGAAATACCTATACAGTCACAAAAGTCTGTCACAGTGTATGAATAATGGTTCTATTTCGCAGCTGCTGCACATATTCTTTTGCTTGGTCAAAACCAGTCCTTGGTGGCTCTGGAGGAGGAGGAGGACCTTCCACCAACTTCACAAAGTAATGGCACCTGCCGATGTTCATGATGCCAAACATGCCTTTGCCATGGTAACGAATCCGCTTCACATAGCGGCCTCTGCCCGACAGTGAGTGAGCTGAAGGAAAAAGGCAGGGGGAGAGAAGACTATTCAGTCAAGAATAACTACAACACATCTGCAACTGAAACACTGGCTTGCCGGTGTATTTTTCATGACTGCATATGAAAAATGAATTCTACTCGGATTCTCTCCTCATCTTTCTTCTATTACACTTAACAGATTACTGCTATAGAGGAACCTGGGAGTTCAATTAACACTCTTCAGGAGTACCAAAAAGGTGAACTGAGAAAGCATGCATGCAAAGATAAATACGTAGTAAAGGACAAATCCGAAGGAACCTACACTGAGTGCTTCGTAGATTATATGGCTCTTCTGAAGGTGGTATTAATTCCACTGCTTTTCAGTAGTTTATCTCATGAATCCTGTAGAAGTCTAATAGACTTCATTTTCCCTCCTTTCTCCCTTTATTGCATTCATCACAGGTATTTTCATTACCTACACATCCAGTCCTGCACTAGCAGATGATAAACCTTTTTATGGCAAAGGCCTGGAAGGCTCCAAAGAATTCTAATCAAATCTGCTCTACAATCCAGGTTACTTTAAGCTTAGGAGGTCAGCTTAATAACATTTATACTATATTTGGCAAAATGGAAATTTTTTTTTCTTTGGGCCTAAAAACACCTACACGTAAACATTTCTCTAGGCAAGGAAGCACTGCAGTTACTACAAGCTTATCCTGTAATAATGTATAACAAAGCCTTTTATTAAAGTCTACTGTCACTATTCATTTACTTTTACACTGTTTAACAGAATTTTAGATTCCAATCCTGCAAATCCAGTAGTACTAGCCATGGACAAAGCTTCCAGCATCTATGTTCGCTGGCAACATTAAAAGGTAATAACGGTTTGCTTCTTGTTGCCTAGTCTTTCATAATCATGTCAAGCATTTTCCTCTTCAGGACTTCCTGTTCACACGGGGAGCAGAAATACCACTCTCAGATGAATGCACCTTAAAAACAATGCATCTAGCACATGCCAGAAGAACAGCTGCCAGACACCAACGATAACAAACTGATGTTGAAGGCTCAGCAACCACACTAACTTCAGTTGGGCTGTAAGTCAGAAGCACATGCCTTTCATGTGCTTGGTTTTGGTAAATATAAGTTTACTAGAAACTATCCTCTATTCATTTCTGCTGATTTGAAGCAACAAAACCTTATTAATGATAAAACTTTTTTGTAGGGTAAGATGACATTTTTCTGCATTAAGTAAGAAAAAAATATACCTATATATAAATTTGACTTGAATTCCACGTTGTGATTTCTTACTGCCATTTCCTGTGCTTCTAACAGAACCTGTAACAAAAGGAAAATAAATGGAAATACTGGGTAGCAATTTAAGCAACGCTATTTCTGATTTCTAGATAACATGGAAGAATTTGCAAGTTTAAGTCAGTTACAGAAAAAGTATTCTATAGAGATCAAAGGTGTCAAAAGACAAACATCTTTTACATAAGTACGTTCTTTGCATACAGACAGAAAAAGCTTCAGAACAACTTTTACATTTTTTGTGAGGAAAGGGAGAGGAAAAGATGGTTCCCACCAGCATTTGTCAGCCCTTGGTCTAATTAGACAGACGACTAGAAACAAATTATAGGGTGGGCCATTCAATATTTTCAGCTAATACAGGATACTTCTTTGTCGTTATTATGCCAGAAATCAATGCTTCGGCCAAGAAAACAAGTAATTTGAGACTCCTAACAACTACAGCATATGAAAAGCTTTCATGCCTTTATAGAACTCAGTCCTTTCCCTGATGGTATCCTTCATCTCTTGCAATTTTAAGAATCAAAGCGCATAGATGCAGCAGCCATTATTGACAGGGATTCTGCATTATTCACCATGAACTTAACACCAAGTACTGAGAGAGGGCACCCACACGTAACTTATACCATCACAAATTAAAGCAGCCAGCACAAGTGATCTCTGCATATCCATAAGTCACAGCATTACATGATTGCTACAAAAATATGTTGTTTGAATGTACTCCCAGTGGGCTTAATAGAAACACAGAAAAAACTCAAAAATTGCCTAACTTCTGGTGATAGGTATTGATTTTAAAGTTTTCTTGAAACTAGGAGTGATAAAGAATACTACTACATACCTCTCTGATCACCTTTGCTCCCTTTTTATCATTAAATTCCAGCTGAGCAAGAGCCTGATCAATGGACATTCCTTTTATCTGCAATCAAAGTGTTAAAGTTAACTTCTGCAATTACAAATATATCCCTTCTCTTATTCAGAAGATAGTCTAAATTATTTTGCCATTATAAAAACCAAATCAAAATACTTTAGTTTCCTTAATTACCGTTTCTTCAATGTAATATCTTACATACAGAACTTCCGAGCAAAATGTTGAATAAATCTTGATAAAACATTCAAATTTTTTATCTTAAAGAGAAAAACAGCCTATTACTATCTTTCAAAGTTCCCCTTGCAATCTACTAGGCAGAAAACCACCATGAAAATTCTTCCACAGTGCATAATCTGCATATGATCCTGGATACACACTGGAGAGCATACTAGGATAAAGCAGCTAAACCAAACTACAAATAATTATTTGCCTGCACAGATGCATGTTCTTCCCCAGGAACCTATTACAAAGATGCTGATTAGACTGTGACTGAACTAGGCTGTTAAGCCAAATACAACAATTAAATTTTGTGTTCTAAGAAATACAGTACAAACGACTTTTTGCTTACCAGTTTTGCCAGATACCACATCTTCTCATTGCTATATTTTATGTCCCTCCGACAGTGATATATTTCCTAGGTGCAAAAAAAGTTAAAAGATCAATAATTCTGCTGTGCAAACAAGAATGGAGCATACACATCCTCTCCACAATCTATTTGCTTAATACGAATAAAATGAGTATGACTCCCCCTACTATACCATGAACATAACAGATCAGGCATACCTTTGACATTTGAAACTGAAAGCACTAAAAAAGTAGCTAGTGTACAGAAAATGTTAATATAATCTTATGAAAATTAGTTTACAGACAGAAGCCCTGAAAAGGATGATCATAAAATTTTTCATCATCTTTTCCTTTCCTCCTCCCCACCTTGTGAAGCAGTCTAAGACTGGCATGCCCATTTAGTCTTAAAAATATTACTCTGCTGTCAAGTCAACTTACTGGGATAGAAACTAAACAATATTACCAGAATGAACTTAATTAGCTCTTCAGCAGTGAAGAGGGTTTCAAGTTTGATTGGCATGAAGAGCTGTCTCTAAAGACCCATTTAACATTATTACTGTACCAACAGGGACCAAACTAGCTAGTAAAATTTAACATCAATACAAATTTGAAAGAGATGGCATTCTTTATGAACAGGTAAAAAACTGATTAAATAAGCAAGTTGGTCGCTAGCTGCATTTTCACATACGTTGCATTAGTCAGCACAGTACACCGCATGTATTGCCGTGTCCAAGGCCATAATGTTCACAGAAGCGATAAATGCTCATGGTCCACAAAAGCACATGTCAAAAAAAACCCTATTCTTTTGTGATGCAAATACTTTACTTTGCTATAGCAGTATGTCTAACAGAGGCCACAACACATTAATCTGCAATGAAGAACGATTACAAAAATGGAATTCCAAAATATCAGTTCTCAAGAGTATGGAAATACTGAAGAATTAACCTAAAATTCTCACAGGTTGTGCTGTAAAATCCCTTCCGTGATCCAATATACAACATTTCGTTTTCATGCGCAACTTAAATTGAGAGGCTTGCTTCTGTTCACATTTAACATTTAACTGTACTTCCCAGTTATAAAATGATCAATAAGAGGGGACAGGGAAAAGCAGGCATAAACCTGCTGTTATCATGACTCCATTTAAAAAATTGACCATGTTACTTACACTGACTTTTACAAAAGTTGTCTTAAAAGGCCAGCAGAAGGCCCTATACTGATCACAGAGGTAGCAAACTGAAGCAAATAATGTAAAATCTTTTATGGTTTAGTAAAACACAAGGTATTGTGCAACTCCACTGTACAGTATATATAAAATGGTTTCCTAAGAAAAAACCTCCTGCAATCACATGCCACATCGGACTCACATGTCCCTCCCCACATAACTTCAGAACCTCTCGGTCCATATTAAACACTTCAACCAACCACTGTGACAGAAAACAACCTCTGAATAGCTTCATTAAGCAGAGGCCACAGCAAGACACAATGCATTATCAGACTTCAGAGCATCTATAATGCAGAGAAATTAAGAAATGAAAAGAGCATGCACTCCATTGTACCTATATCGAAACAGGCACTGCTAGTTCCACTACTAGCAAAGTAAGGAAAGTTACATTTATATCTGTGTGCACAGAAGCAACAATACAATTGCCTTCTCCTCTAGTTATTTACCGCCAGTACAAACAAGCATATAATGATAGAACTTCTACCTCCGAGTAGTTCAGAGACTTCTACAAACAGAGCATGGCACCTTTCCAGTTTGCATCACATATTACTAGTAGGTGATCAGCTGCAAGCAAGTTACAGAATCACAGAATGGTTTGGGTTGGAAAGGACCTTAAAGATTATCGAGTTCCAACCCCCCTGCCATGGGCAGGGACACCCTCCACCAGACCAGGTTGCTCAAAGCCTTAATATTATTTAGAAATAGAAAACATTCTAAGTGATGTTAACTTTTACAATATAAATACGCCAAACTGGCTAAAATCTTCAATAACAAATGAAGACCAGGCTGGATGAGGCTTTGAGCAACCTGGTCTGGTGGAGGGTGTCCCTGCCCATGGCAGGGGGGTTGGAACTCGATAATCTTTAAGGTCCTTTCCAACCCAAACCATTCTATGATTCTATGAATAAGCTATCAAACTAGTGCCTTGGTGAGTCACCCAGAGACAGTGACAATCTGTTCAGAAATAGCTAAACATAAACAGAGAAGGAAAGTCACACAGGTGTATCCTTACAGCTGGTCTGCGAGGTTCTCCAGGCAGCTGTGGAGGGTAAACAATTCTGTTCTTTTTCTCCCACTTCCCAATTTTCTGCAGAGATGCACTTGTGTGGATGCATGACAGAGGAAAAAGGCCACTGGATACGAGCCACCTGCAAGACAAGACCACAGTCTTTGCTGCTGAACACAAGAGCTCTTTGTCCCTGCCAAGTTTATCTGGAAAATTGCAAACTTACCTGTCTTGATAAGGAGTACTGACACCTCTGACTACTCACAAAATAAAACTGTTCAAGTCATCTATAGGTTATGCTGAAAGGCCTTTTGAATTCAACGAGAAGCCTCAGGCTTCCTAAAGCAAACCATGAACCACAATGGACACTGGTATAGCATGAGATCCCCCATTAAGTGTCCCCAGATCAAAGATCTTTGTTCTTGTGTGGGGTTCACTACTCATACAAACAATTTATCTTTTCCAAGTTTATAAACATTCTGAAATTTGAAATGAAAGATATTCTAAATTACTTTCAAAATGCAATCACATCAACAGCCGACAGCAAAAACCTCTGGTTTTCAGTCAGTTCGTTCAAAAAAAACAAGCTACTTATTGCCCCCTGGTGACCAGATAAAGCAGTACTGGGCAGCCACTCGGAACTACAACAAACAGATGAGTTCAAAACCAGATATTGGGAATTTTACTAAGACCTGAACAGCTTCATGTGGGTAGCCAAACTGTGCAAAGCATTTTAAAAGCAACTGGCAAACAGAACACGTTGATTAGTTTCAAGAGGGCATTGTACACCTTAAAGTTTTCACGTCCTATCAGTAGGGGGTAACATAATATACAAATTTAAGTGTTATGGAATATTTTTTCAGACATTTACCAAAACAGGTTTATTTGCTTAATACTTAAAAATTTCACTAACAGAGATAAGAATTCATCATCAGACATAATATCATTGATTAATACAGGAAAATATGTGACAAGCACACAAATATCATTTTGCAATTTAACAACTTCAGCAGTAATGAACTAAGAATTATCTTCCTGGTATTAGCAGAACACATTAATACATTCAGCAAACTAAGGAATCTCATATTCCCTTTATCTTCAGCCTCATGTGAAGAGCAATTCTATTTATCATCACTTTAGGAGAAGAAAGAGGACAAAAGCCTCACTGTAGGCAAAAGGAAACCGACAAGCAACAAACAAGAGTGTATCGTATACAGGTAAGTAAGGGGAAAAGGAAAGAAAAAGTTGAGCACCTTTCTAGAAAGAATCACACATAAGCAACAAGAAGACATGCAGACTAGAAGAACTGACCAAAACAAGTGATTAGCATGTAACTCTGTCCAACTGCAAGGCAGTAAACAAAGCACAGGCAACATAAGCCTATTTCTTCTTCCTTCAGTAACAGAGATCTCTGTAATTTACTTCCACAGGCTCTAGCAGAGACCAAAGCTCTACAATTTGAGAACCCACATCAGCCCTTCTTCTGAAATCAGGGATACAGTCAGCAGTGACCAATGCTCCCCCAGCACAACTTTGCCATTCTTCCAGACCCAGGGGAAAGAAAGACAGCAACCACAGAAGAGCAATAACTGAGGAGAGCACGGAGGAGCAACAGGTACTAAGCTGGAGGAAATCCGGATACCCGACAGAAAGGGGTCATGAAAGAAAGACACCATCCACCATGCTACAATCTTCCAAGTACACAGAAAGACACTACAGAAGTAAAGAGTGACCTGCTCCGCACAGCTCCGGGACGTGGCAAGAAGCCAGCGAGAAGGCCGAGGACCCGGGATACCCCAGCCCCGAGGACCCCCAGCGAGGCGGCCCGAGTCCCCCTGCCCAGGGCCCGCCAGGACGGGCCTGCTCCAGGACACGGCGGAGCCACACTCACCTCTCGGGCCGCGCCCAGCCCAGGACACTGCACGCCCAGGCACTACCTGCAAGAAATCAGCGCAGTGAGCAAGGAAAAAGTAAGCAAGAACTCCC